GCATATACTCAAAATTATGTTTCAATATAAAAATAAATTTAATAAATAAATAAATAAATAAATTATAATAATAAATAAATAACAAAAAACATCTAACAAGCAAATCATTCCGAATATTCCTCGAGAAAACTATCAGGTCCATACCTATCAAAAAAGGAAGAAACATTAAACACTTTCAAAAAAAAAATAATGCCATGATGAATACATACGCTGTCATCCCCTGAGTATAAATTCCTAGCACAATCCCACTAGCAACACGAGATACCGGATGCTCAAATCGCGTAAAGAATGCCAACACGTAGAAAATTTGCCAATGATGCAAGTGTACGCGGGCTTTGATTTTTGGTCCAGGTGGGCTTGTAGCAGTTGCAGTTTCTCCTTGCACAGTTATTGTATGTTGTTCATTGGTACTATTATCATTAACATTTTGTGCTTTCTTTCTAGTCATACATCCAAAAATCTTTGTAAATATCCCATCTTCAATCTTATTGTAATCATAGTCATTTTGTACTTTTTGAAACATCAGTGCAACAGTCGCCAATATAGCCGGAATAATTAAACATCCCAAATACCACGCGACAAATTCCGTATTATGCTTTCGTGGTTCGTTCATTATCTCATAAGAATCCGCCAAATAGATATGAAACCCGGCAAACGCCAAGATAATAGCAAACGCCGCAATAAATAGAATCCACATTGCTAACGGCCATGTTCGCCATCGTGGAAGTGAAGTCTGTGCGAATGGTATTTGAGCAATTAGACCATAGGAGTACATTGCGATGTAAAATGATAATATCGAGATCCAACTAATTGAATTATTAGTTATATCTTTGTCTTAGGATTGTATGAACTAAACGATATAACCTACGTAGTACTTACTTAAATGTTCCCGAGTACCCACCCAGCACGAATACAATAAGCCCATAACGAAACAACGCCATTAAATCACCGTAATGTTTTGCTGGCGTCTTGGTTGTCAACTCCCAATTAAATGCGCCAGCAACTATACGGTAGAGTGGATACGCTATTATTATAAACGCTATGCTGAAATAAATGAATATTAACAAGTCAATGCTTGAAACTATCCGTGGCGAGTAAGGGTCAAAATTATCCGGAAATGGCGACTGTGTCATAGTTTTTTTTTTTAGATTATTAGATGAAAAACCTCGAATTTACAAAACGAAAAGAAAGAGAATAAACTCTAAGAAAGCCTTAGCTTTCTTTTTTTGTTCAATGAAATTTGTTACATTTTTTAATTTTTACGCGATTAACGTTTAAGAAAACCACAGGTGACATTATAAGGGATGTCTGAATTGTGTACCAAATCGGTTTAGATGACTAATTCGCTAACAAGATTGCTTAGCAGGAATTTGCCAGCAGAATTATGCGATGCGATGCATAATTCAAATCCAGCATAGCATAATGCATAATTGCCTATTCACATAATTCAAAAGCATAATGTAGGGGGTCCTTGTATAATTAATATAGTTAAATTAAAAACGGTTCTGCAACGCAAAAATTCATACTTTGAAAGAAATATTTTTAACGTATATTCGGTAACAATTATTATCGCTATGGTGTTCAGAAATGAATGAGCACGTATTCTAAAATTGCCCAGCATTATGTATATGTAGATTTGAAATCATTTCGCATCCATCACATACATAACCTAAAAATTATCTGAAAATAATATACTATCGAAAATATTTATAGAATTTTCATATTAAATATACTAGGTATGCTCGTTTTGCCTTTGGTCAAAAAAATACTGTTGACCGAGGACAAATGCCAATGCGAATTTGGATAAACAGTGTCCAACTGGCAAAAAAATTTTTTTGCACAGCCAAATATCTAATACCAGATTATTAAAATAATGTTAAAAACTGAAGTTCTCTTGTGAAAGCAAATAGGAGTCATCTTTTGCGCTACGGTAAATATCTGCCATACATAAAATATCGATATCGCACAGTTGTGTCCCTTTTGATAAATCAGGCCGTGACAATCCAAGAAATAATACCGTTTAGAATATGCTTCATGTGTTACTCATATTAAAAGAAACGTCTGTTTGTTGTTTTTGTATTAATTCGAAGTTGATATTGAAAATCCCCGTTCAATTTTCATTCTTTTTCATTCTATCATTTTAATAGATTTTTATCAACCACATGGTATACATGAAAATGCAAATATTAAATGAAGCAAGTTGTTACCCTTTCTTTTAGATTTTTCCATAGTCTGATGTTGAATTTATCTTTTTGGATTCGCTGCAATGAAAAACAAAGAAGAGATTAGTGATCGAGATAACAACCGGGAAAGAGATCAATTTACCTTTAGCATATATTGAACTCTCTCAACACGCTGGTAAACAGGATGATCGTTCGTGAATTTTAGTTTCATACGTTTAAGTTCTGCGCTCAACAACTTATGACATTGCATTTTCGTGATTTTCGGGTCTTGCTTGATTATGTAGATATCCCAGTCGTTCACATTCCATCGATTCATATCTTTATTCCAATAATCTGAGATAGTTTGAACTGAGTTTTTGATTTTAAGAGAAAGCGTAAACTATAATAATATCAAAAAACACACCTTTAGCATTCAAATGCAAAGTCGACATTTTGATGATTTAGTAAAAAAACTGTTTTGCGACAAAAAAATAATTAAATCTGTTATTTAAAAGACTCTTATGTGTTTTAGATATTGGCTGTATATATTATGATCAATGAATGTTACCTCGTGCCACTTTCACGAATAATACTTATCGTTATTGATTGTTGAAACTCCCGCATGTGAATGCCATAAACATTTTTTTTATGTTTTTACATCATCTTTGCCTTCTGAGGTAACAGGTCGGAAGGGTGTTTATTCAAGTCTGATAATTTTCCCAATGAAACAATAGAAAATGTCAATGTTAAATAGAGCAGTAATGATATTGAACTGCACACGTAATGTATCAGGTCCAATATCAGTCTCTGCTTTATTATCTAAATATATTGTACGCTCAGAAATATGATTGTTCGTTCAAAAATACAGCTATTTCCTTAATTTTTGATAAATTTTTTTCTTGCTCGATGCATTGATAGAAATAAATGGCGTTCTCTTTTAGAACTAATTGAAAAATCATCCATTTTAAAAATGTAAATGTTTCAAAATTCTTCGTTTTAGATTTCACTTAATAATCGATAGCTACAGCGGTATTAAACCTACTTTGAAATTGTAACGCGCAATGGCCAGATTTTTATTCATCTTGGCAAAATTCTGTAAATATTAAATTTGTTAAAAATCAAAGTATTTCAAGCTACTTGTTGGTCTTCAAAGTATAAATCTACAACTGCATAATGAAGGTTTCGTCATATGTCCAGCCAGAACTCTTGGGAGAAAAACGTTCTGAACTCTAGAAATGTCTCAGCGGATTTAATATCTAAAAAGTATCACTAATGTACCTAAATTGTTTGTAAAAATTCGTCAAAGTTTGCTAAATTAAGTATCTCCAATTGAGAGGAAATTCATCGAACATTCTGTTTGAAGTACAAAATTATAAATTTATCACGGGCTAGCTATATTGTGCCATTTAGATTAGTGATCTATCCAACGATTTACATTTTCTATAGCAATATGGTGACGGAATTGGCTTTGATGCAGTTAAAGTTTTATTACCTCTTGCCCGATTGTTGTTTTCGGTCAAATTAATATCATTGTATTATTCTTAAGCTTTTATATCAGACAAAATTAGGATAGTTTCTTTATGAGTTTATAATTCATAATTTATTTTGTTACATTATGAGTTTGCAATACAGTCAATCTTTCTTATAATTACACTTTTAAATCCTAGTAATTTTTTTAATGTACTCATAAAGAGGTTGACAAATAATATCAAATATAGGTGTGCTTATAAAAATGTAATTATATAGAAGATGATTATAAACGAGATTGATTGTTAATTTGCTTGGTATAATTTGAATTATTCTTTTATAATTCTCAAATTATAATCAAAATTTATATAAATACAATCAAATCTCTCTATGCACCCTAGAAAAAAACAAAATTAAATAATCGTAGAAAGATATAAATATCATTATTTAATAACTGAAAAACTCAAATTGAATAATTTAATCATAAAGAGATGCAATTATAAATATATATTAATTTATAATAATAGTTTTATTATTAATTATGAATTATAAATTTAATATTCTATAGTGACAATCATAAATAATACAATACATGAATAAGAATTTTTATTTTTAAAAAATAACTAATAAAACTTAAATTAAATTACTAATTATAATAATTTAATAATTAATTAAATATATTTTATTTTTTTTAGCTATCAATTATGAAATATATAGATAAGTTTTATAAAATATGCATTACTTTATTTTTGATATTTTTTATATTAGATATTATTACATATTTAAGACTAATACAAATATAATTAAATAAATATTTTTTTATTAATTTATTTTTTTATAATGAAGTCACTTTTCAGAATATACACAAAAAAATAAATATTATATTATATCTAAATAGAGAATAAATTCTTATTATTCTTAAAAAAAGATTATAATACTAGAAAAATTGTATAATAATAAAATATTAACATTTTCATAGCTACTTATATTAAATAAATATGATAAAAAAATATATTCTTATTAATATTAGCAAATTTGATTATTCATATATAATAAATAAAAAACTTAAACTATTTATTATATACTTAATAATTATGAAGAATAAAATATAAAAAGTCATATCTAAAAAAATATCAAAAATACAAACTTAATTTCACAAAAAAATATAAAAATTAAATTAAATAAGAATAATCTGATTAGATAAATTAAAATTTAATATTTTTAAATTAAATAAATATAAATATTATTGAAAAAAAAGAAAATTATTAAAAAGCTTATATATTAAATCTATTATTAAATTTGATAATAAAAGAATAATAATATAAGATTATTTTACTATTTATAATATTAATAATTTTTATAAGATTAATAATAGAATAGATAATATATTATATAAAAAAATTATTTTAGAAAATCTTTTAAAAACTATTAATAATTTTAATTATATACTAAATAATATTATTTTTTAATAGAATAATAATTTCAAGTATATTATTATTAAAATTTATTAATAATTTATTAATAATAAAGTTGATATTCTTAATTAATTATTATAATTTTTAAATCTTAATCTTATTAAATACTTATAAAATATTATTAATTATTATTTATATTATCTTCTAAAATTAATTTTAGAGAGAATTTATGAAAGAAAATTTAGGATATATAAAATAATATCAATATTAAAATATATATCTATCTTATTAAATTCATATTAAAAAAAATTATTAACATAATAAAGATTTATAATAATTATATAAGATGATAATCTAAATTAAAAATAGTTAATTTTTAAAAAAAAATATAAAAAAGTTAGAATTTTGATAATTATTATCAATTTTTTTATTTTATTCAAAAGAATAAATATAATATAATATTAAAAATTCAATATATTTAATAATTACAAAGAATTTAACTAAATAAAATTAATTTGAATTAATAATATTTTAAATTATAGAATTATATTATTTAATTATATTAATTATTTTAAATATTATATTATTTTTGATAAAATTATTATCTTTTTAATATCTTTTAAGATATAAAAAAATAAATTTAATAACTTTATAATAAATTACTTGATCAAAATATAATAAAAATAATAAGATAAATTTTAAATTTTTTTATATTAAAATAAAGTTTATAATTTATAATTTAATCTATATTTTTTTCTTATTTTTTGGATTTTTCCTGAAAGAATTCTTGTTATGAAATTATTGCAGAAATTTTTTTTAATTAAAAATAAAATTTTTGCAATTAAAACAACTCTTTCAGAGAAATTCAAAGTTCTATATATTTCATTATTCTTTTTTTTGAAATTCCAGTGATTTGTTGTAAGGTGTATATATTAAGAAACTTTTATGATTAATTTTTTAATAAAAATGTATATTTAATTATAAAAAAAATATGCCATAGTAATTTACACAAAAAAGCATCATTGTACAAATGATCAAATGATCATATGCTCGAAAATCCCACCTATATTCTGATACTGTTAATCTCGTTTAGCTAGTATATTTCATTTAGAGTAAATCAAAAGTTTTTACTTAATTGGGGGAGTCCAATAGAGGTGCGCGAATTTTTTAATCAACCCGGCAAAACAAATCCGACACAAGATATGAAAAATGAAAATTACTCGACCGTTCTCGTATCACATACCATGGAGCATTCCAATGAATAGTGTGTGATTTACGAATGATTTTATCCCATATCGATTTCTCGGACAAATTTTCTTTAAGATTATTAACCTAATAATTTAAGTCATAAGTGCGTCAGGATAAAATTCAGCTGTCAACTTGGTAGCTACAAGGAATGTTAACGAGTCCCTTAAAATTTATTTAACAATCACTGCAAAACTTTTCATTATAAAAAACGTGTTTTCAAAAGGTAAGCACTTTAAAAAATCAATAACGGAGATCATTTGCAATAATCGTGCGTCTGTGCTTTGATCTTCTCTCATTCTTCTGAAACATGTTAATTTAGTGTAGCAATAAATTAGTATCGAGATGATTAGGGCCAAAAAACATCAAACGTCCTGCTTAATGAGCTGTTTTTAGTCCAATGTTTCGAGTTGATTAATCAGTTAAAATATTTTGTGTATTTCTGGTAAAGATGCACATTACTTTCTATAAAAATAGAACAAAGTACCGGATTTTAAGTTTTATAGGGAAATGAAAAGACATCGATATGACTTGATTTGGACAATTCAAACGAGACTCAATAAGATAACGATTTAAAATAAAATGTTTTTTGCTGGGATTAAAATATCTACCTGAACATGGAAGTTTTTGTAAATATTTGATTAATAATGATTGATACTAACAAAAAATATTGGCAAACAAAGAAGAGAGCGAGCGATAACAAAGTTAGAGTTACTTATATTAGTCGCATCCTTAAGCGTAGCCACATCCTCTTATAGACATGTCCCGAAGGACGAGTGAATGATAAGATGATCTGATAAGAGAAAGTGACATATAAGTTCGAGGTTCTATAAGTAATCCCATAATGAGGTAATATATGTCACTCCCTCAAAGATACTCTTCTTTTTTGAATTTGATGTTCGTCATCAAATTTTTTTGCCAAGAAAACATTATCATTGACATGTATCCAAAAATTGATCACTGAATGGGGGACGTGTAATGTTAATGTTAAGTTTGTGTAATGTAAGAGTAATAAAAAAATATGTTTGTTATTTATTGCATGTATAGATAGATGTGTTTTGTACATTGTCAAAAAAAAAAATGCTGTGTTTATTATTATTGCGCCACTAAGAGGTATACCGATACATCTTTGTATGTATGTATGTGGATCAATTCTTCCTAACGTAATTTTCCCTATAATAATTGACATTCTAGACTACTGCATTGTTTGTTTCTTTTGTTTCTTTGTCTTTTTCTATCTTGTTCGAGAACATCAGCTCACCAACCAATTATTACATTCTTATTCTACCAAACTATTCTATTTCTATTCTTTTTTGATTATGATACGACACTGCTATCGTAAATTCATGCACCGCCTTTCCAAATAAAGCTTCTTTTTGCTATATCTCAAAAATTCTTGGCATTATAATTTTTTTCCCTCTTATATCCGGAAATTCGGTTCTTCATTTGATCTTATGGTGGTTGGAGCGTGCGCGATTTATACGTGACCGAGAAGACAAGAGTTGTAATATTTATTTTTCTCCTTTTTTTTTTTCTCATTATCATCTCATAATCATATTCACAACAAGCAAAATTTTTAGAAGACGTCAAGAACCTACCTCTCGAATTATAGTTTACACATTACTTTATTATCTTGATATATTAATATATTGTTATATATATATGTACGTGTGTGTGTGTGTGTGTGTGTGTTTGTGTGTATGATGTATCAATCTACATATATACAATGTGTATTGTAACTTTATACATAATTATATGATTACGTAATTATACAATACACACTATAAAAAAAAATAGAATCATGAATGGACAATCGAAAAATCTTCTAGATTTTTTTTCATGTAAAAGGAAAACCATGAGATTGGCTTAGGCTGATTATGTCGATGTTGATGATGAAAATAAGATTCAGAAAGTTGTTTTTTTAGTTTACGCGTGTTTATTTTTTTTTATGGGCCTGGCCATTCTTTATACTTCTGCCCTTATTGGAATAAAGAATTTTCTTCAAGTTTTCCCGAGTGGGAACACCATAAAATAAAACAAACATACGCTCGCCCAATATTTTGATAAAAATATCGATATTATTATTCCAATTAATGAATGCTATATATATATATATATACATAATAAAACCAAAAGGTCCAGATCAAAAATAACAAGTTTCCACCGAAATACAGAATCAAATATTCAACGGTTTTGAGGTGCGGAATAAAAATTTTACCTATATACGTATTTTTACCCACGCTCTTTTAACTTATGATTCACCCTCCCTCTCATTCTATCCTCATTCATTCTAATCTCCCTAATTAATAATTGTTTTCAGAAAAAAGTTTTGGCCCAAAAGAAAATTATATCTATCGTTTGCGACGTATGTGCGCTCATTATCTACTATATAGTAAGTAGCAGTAATTTTTCTCAACTATTTTATCATTATTCTCACATGTTCATTGAACTCTGGGTGGTGTCCTCCCTCGTTCCCAATCAATGGGTTGGAAAAATCAATTATAAATATAATAGAAAACTAGTTATATTCAGGTTGTGCACATCAATTGTATGAATAATCAACTTTTCTTGTAAAAACAGTCTTTGCTATTTATCGCTCGGAAGCCTACCGAACTCGATAGAAAATATAGTCGAAAAAACAAGCCAGAAAAAAGAATATTCTCCGGGAAACAGGAACAGCCTTGAGGAAGCGAGAAAAATGGAAGAAGATACTTCTCCCATTTCAACTAACGTAACCACCACGAATGACACCACCAATGACGAGAATATTAAGAACTTTGAACGAAGCAACTCGGACGCCAAAGAAGAGTTTCTCGCGCCAAAATCTGAGCCACCTGGCTCTTTTCATATTTCGTCAACAAATGAAAACACCGCCACTACCACAACCACACCCACCAATACCATTTCCTCAAATTCCCCCAGCTCTAATCTAACGTTAGACGATAATAATAATAAAAAGGATCCAACGACACCTTCGCCTACAATTACGGGAAATATAACACCCACTACCTCGACTACGTCGAATATTACTTTGAATTCGTCGAATCATAAAACTCAAGCCGCATTCGTTAATAAACTATACACGTAGGTAGTTTTAACTCGCATATAGAATATCCGAATATAAATATTCTACTTTTCGAAGATCCTTATGCTTGCTTGCATGCATACATTTATTAACTATCATTAACCTTCATTAACCTTTAATAGAATGGTTGAAGATCAATCTATTCAACACCTAATATCATGGGCACCCTCTGGTGACGTGTTCAGTGTATCAAATCCGACGGAATTTTCCAAAACCGTGTTACCACAATATTTCAAGCACAATAATTGGCAAAGTTTTGTCAGACAATTAAACAGTAAGTATTATAATAATAATAATATCCATTTTCGAGTGATTATGTAATTTTAAAAATAGATTATTGATGATTTTTGTTTTGGAAAATTTCATAGTGTACGGTTTCCATAAAGGTAACTTTATTCGGGCCAATCGATCGCGTGAGATATAAATCTTCATCTTGGTTATTTTGTTTTTATTTATAAAACTAACATATACTTATTTGAAATGTTCTCTCCTCTCCTCATGATGAACACTCCGCCTCTCTTATATTAACAAAAATAATTCATTCAGTCAATGACATGTTTCACGCGAACCCATCAAGTGAAAGTCAAGCCTGGGAATTCAAACACCCAGAGTTTCGACGAGGTCAATTGGCTTCTTTGCAAAACATTAAACGAAAAAGCGCGAAACAACAGACACAAACAAATCAAATGATGTTGAAAGGTGGAGGTGGCAACGTTGGTGGTGGTATGTCTGGATCTGCATCTAGTCTTAGTCCGACTGAAGGTACTAACATGGCTGATATGATGCACGATGATCGAATTGATCGATTGTCAACCCAGATGGCCGAAATGATGGAAAGTATGAGACGCATGACCGAGAATTATAATCTTTTGGTCGCGGAGACCGTTTCTTGTAAAATGTTGCATACTAAACATAAACAGGTTCGTGGTTTACGCATCTTTTTTAACGCTCTTGATTTCTTAATTTTTCTTTAATTTCTATGAAATCTATGCTAGGTAATTACAAACATAACCAATCTTTTAGCATCAATGTGTCGTGATGGTAAGTAACTACTTTTTAGATTTGCTTTATTCTTTCGTTGGAAAGTGATTATTCGAATAAACTATGACACTCATAGTAATTCTATGATTAGAAGAAGCTGATCCGAGAAGTCTGAGAAAACGGAAATTTGACGGTAAGTAGCGATCATAATGATGGGTATCTAGAAAGAGTTTTTTTTTCATGTTGGAACATGTCTAATTTTTTTGTCATTTTACGATAGTTGATTTATTGCAAGTTGAAGTGGCGAAATTAGGACAGAATGAGACAATTTCAAC